ATGAATATATCATCTTACTTTAGTCCAAAAGTAGAACGAACGGTCCATCAAAGCAAGAAAATATCGCAAGCCTGGTGAGTAAAAGAAAACAGTCTAATTATAATATCATTTCTTTTTAGTATGCAAACTTTTAAGCCTTTTTTACCCTCTTAGATTGCAATTCAAATATATAGAATTTAGCTATTGGCCTATCAGATAAGTGCCTCTTGAGACGGTCGATCTTAAAAAAAAATAAGCTACTAAGTTTAATAGAAATATATTATTATTACTGTACAGTACCAGTTTTGCACTTGAAATGTGATGTCACATTGTTTGTATGAAGATTAGGTGCGAGTGGCTAATGAAATTATACAATATAGGGAAGAATAAAAGTCTAACTGCACTTGGAATGTGATGTCACAATGTTTGTATGAAGATTAGGTGCGAGTGGCTAATAGAATTATAGAATATAGGGAAGAACAAAAGTCTAACTGATATGTTGGTGGTCCTTTGGCTTCATTGATAAGTATGTAATATGCACAATTATGCACTAAAATACTTTTAATTGTGCCCGTCTTTGATACGTATTAGCTTTTAATACATAAAAATGATTCATGTGTGCTGTAATGAACTAGTTTAACTTTGAATTGGATATATTTTTTCTAATACAAAATGTACTTGTATCTATTTTATTACAAATTTTACACTGACATACTCATATAATAGAATTCTACGAAAGAATTTGTGACTTCATTTAAAGTTATGATGTAAAATTTACAGTGATTTGACATTTGGCAGCTGTTAATGATCGCTATTTGATTTAAATGCAACTTTGATGTTTACAGTTTTTGCATTGCATCAATTTTAATAAACAGATGATAAGTTCAATCTGACATTCATGAAAGGCTTAAATGAGAGCAGAAAACCATATTTAAGTTTCAAAAACACAGATATTATATGTTTTAGTGTTAAATTAAACGTTATCAGACACATACATTGCTGTTCTCCAGGCAAGACACTGTGACCCTTTCTTATCATACTGAAAATATTTCAGTATAACCCACTTGTACATAATAAAATGTAAAAGAAACTACAAACACGAACTATTCTTCCAAACATATAAGGGCTATTTTTGTGAGAATGTTTTTTTTAATGTCAATGCTATATAAAACTTAGAAAGGAAACATACTTTATTTGGATTGGCGTGGACGATTTTTAGCCATCAATAGTGTAAGCATTGTCTATTGTAGTTTCGTTTTCACTTCACATTTTGCCATAATAGTATGCTGTTATCGATCATCTTTAATGCTTCTCCTTTCCGAAAGTCTTAATCCGATTTTCTATCTTACGTTGAAGATGGTTTACCATATAGACTATAATTATCTCTCAGAGAATGAAGTGGACGCGTCAATAGAAACATGGTTTGGAAAATGTTAAGAGATATATGCGGCAATATTCATGACTTGGAAATAAATAGTCTCATTCCATTTATAACGTCCTTACAATTAATAAACCTTTAGAGGCATCCATGATAGTAGTTCACATTAGTCTAGATTGCTTTGATTCGACTGTCATATCAATCAAAGAGAAATGGAAGATCTTGCGCGAAGATAAAATTCATGATTATTAACACTCATTTAGTATAATTGGCGATACACGTGTGGTTGGCACTGAATTTGATTTGATGAGAATTAGTCTGTCAGTAAATACCGGTAGTCTAGTCATAGTGCTATCTGCTGGTGTTGATTTGTGGTAATTTTTAGGAATGCAAATATAATCTGAGCAGGTTTCTTTTTCAGATTGGACTTTGGTCTCACGTTATAATGTGTTCTGTCAGTAAATACTTCCTGGATATTTTGATGGACGAGAGTGAAATTGCTAAAGCATTTGGTATAATTAAAAGTAAATCAATAAAATCAGAATAACTGAACGCTAATGTGTAATGTGAAATTAACATGAACTATAAATTTAAGATTTTTGAGGCAAACTGATTTTTAGTTGCCTAATTTTAAGCATTTTGTCTTCAGATTAATGCTAATTTTCATGAAAATTGCATATTTAAAAGTAAAATACTATTAAAGTTAACGATAAAAGTAATTCACACATTGCAAACGGCACTTACAATCCATGTAAATTACCAAAAACATATTCAAAAAATGAGCAAGCAGCACTTACTGTGTTAGTATTCTGATAATAAAAACTGCAGAATCAGTAATTAATCGCACATAACACACACCATCTTAGATATCACTTATCGTTTAAATTTCTTAAAATAGTACATTTCACTTAAGTGTGACTTTATTAAAATTGTGTTTGGCTCATCTGGTGGCATGCAGCTTTAAATGACAATGCTGGGAACACATATTAATATAGCATTGGCAAAAAGCATACTCACAGAAATATGCTTTGCGTTTTTTCCTTAGTATGGAGCATAAACAATTTCTACTTATCACAAAGTGTGTTGCCAGAACCATAATTTTTATTTGTACAAACAATTTGAAGTTAAGCATCTATGACAAATCGTCTAGGGTTATGGGTTATGGTGAATGATAAAGTCGTAACTTGTCAGCTAATTAGCTCTTCTAGGAAAAAATAAAGATGTAGAAAAGGTATGTGATAAACATAAAACAGTCTGGTAAGAAAGCTCCCCGTTTCTTCGTAAATAACAATACAGTTGCAGTAAACCTTACAAAGATAATAAAACCTACGTATATTATGAAAGTGTAAGTTTCGAAATTAGTCATTTTTATTTTGTTTTATTATATTAAGCTTCATTTATGCAAATCATATCGCATTTAAAACATGAATAAGTCATATAAAATGTACTAGTAGTACATTGTGAATCTATATTAAGAATTAAAAGAGATTTATACATATAATATGGAATAAAACTTACAGATATGAACCCTAATATACATTTACATTACATACCATTCAATAAGAATTTTAAGACATATACGAGCTTTGACTGAAGTTAAAATTTAGGGATATGTTATGATTATGGGATAGATAGAATGTTGTGTTGTTGATTTTATTGTGTGTGTTTTGTTGTTGTTGTTTTTTTTTTGTTTGCTGTTGCTTTTTGTTGTTGGTTTTTGTTGTCGTTTTTTATGGGTTTTTTTTCTGTTGTTTTTGTTGGTTTGTATGTACATTGTATATATGAAACAATTATTTTATGCATTATTCTGTAATCACAAGGCACGAGTGTGTCTGTGTGAACATTCATATGAGCCGCGTCACGATAAAACCAACATAATGCGTTTGCGACCAGCATGGATCCAGACCAGCCTGAGCATCCGCGCAGTCTGATCAGGATCCATGCTGTTCGGTTACTAACCCTATTGCAAGAAGAGAAACTGATAGCGAACAGCATGGATTCTGATCAGACTGCGCGGATGCGCAGGCTGGTCTGGATCCATGCTGGTCGCAAACGCATTATGTTGGTTTTGACATGACGCGGCTCAATTATCTTCTCGTGCTTTAGAAGTCATGTGATGATCATGACTGAGGAAGTCTTGCGTAAATGATGACCGTTAGTGTACCGTAGGAAATGACGTACAATTAGAGTATTATTGTGGGAGAAAATGATACAGTAGTATGGACTAATGGACAGTGGGCGTGGTCACAAGCGATGAAGATATATTGATTTTCCGAATTCCTTTGTAACAATTCCTTCATTCCGTTCAGTACTGCATCGATATTTAAAATTATACACAGTGTTAGTGCTGATTTATTGAATTTTATGAAGCTGCACGTTTGTAACGTCCCTTTTCATTGGATAATTACAACGTTTATAATAACCATATTCTTGACTGCTGTTAATTTATAAAGTAATTCCAAGTAATTCCATTTTATTTTCACAAAGACAGGAAGTTTATCCTTAGCATAAATTCGTTAAAAAGATTATTGACAGGTAATATGACCCTATATGAACAATTGTTTGCAATATACTCCTCGCCAATTGGCTCGAGTTATAAAAGCAAACAGTCGTTTAGATAAGGTCATGTAACCTGTCAAAAATCATTATGGGTAATATTTATTATAGTTGTTTAATAATGAAACATAAAGTATCATATTAACTTAAAATGATGAATGTATATTGATCTAACGATTTATGAAAAAATGGCCATTATTTGTACACAATATGCGTAGTTAGAGTGACGTTACCGTCATGTTATCATTTGTTTTATTAAATTTGAATTTGAATTAATTTGAATTTTGAACATATAGAGAAGGCCTTTTATGTCATACTACATAGAGTGTTACGTCACTATTCAAGGAAATAGCTGAAGGGAAGGCATTTTATATTGCATTGGGGGTTTAATTATTCGCGTGCATTTAAACTGCCCTCACACATACCTCGCGACCTTACTGCGTCCTTACTACGACCTTGCTACGACCCAGGACGCAGCACAGTCGCCATGGACGCAGCAGGGACGCAGCGAGGTCGTAGCGAGGAACCCAAGGACGCGCAAGGTCGCAGACCGTCGGCGACTATTTTGAACATGCACAAAACAGTCGCAGAAACTCTGCGTTCTTGCTGAGTCCTGGTTAGGTCGCCGTGGGATCGCAGTGGAGTCGCCATAGTCGCAGCAGCATCGTAGTAAGGACGCAATAAGAACGCAATAGACGTAGTACACTCGTACTAAGGACGCCGTAGAGTCACCGATGAAATTACAAGAAATTGCTCGGAAACCTTTGGCGACGCTACTGCGTCCTTGCTGCGACTATTGCGTCCTTACCACATCCTTACTACATCCTTGGCGTTCTTGGTGCGACTTCAGTGCTGTTAGAACAGAAAATATGAAAAATTCTGCGATCTTACTACGTCCTTAGTGTGTCCCTTCTGCGTCCATTGCGACTCTACGGCGATTGTACTGCGACTATGGCGACCTTTGTACGGCTGCACTGCGTTTCTAGTGCGACCCTAGTACGATTACCATTTTCATTAGACTTTTGCTTAAAAATCTAGAATTTCAGTTCGCTTTCAGCAGTCAGTGCTTTAACATCGGTGTTTGAAAATGGATAATGTAATACTGGCTCAATACATGGTTCTTGTTCAGGAGCAACATGATATTGACTATCAGCTTGTTTTAAGTGTGCTTAGACAAAGGAGAAGGGCCAGGCGGAGACGATGTTGGGTGAGGCCATGGCTAGGGGAAGTACGGAGAGAACTGTTTGGCCACTACAGCCGTCTTGTACCTGAGCTTAGGCTGGAAGATCCTGCCTCATTCCACAACTTCTTTCGTCTCCCACCACAAATGTTTGATGAACTGTTGTCTAGACTTCGCCCACATATCACAAAGCAGGATACGCGCTGGAGGAAAGCTATCGATCCGGGGACAAAGCTGGCAGTAACTCTGCGTCATCTGGCTTCTGGCGACCTTTACGCTAGCATGAAGTTTGACTTCCGGCTGCCGGATAATACGATATCTGTCATTGTTAAGGAAGTCTGTCAAGCCATTGTAGACGTGTTCAAGGACGAAGTAATGAAGTGTCCCACCACTCCTGAAGAATGGACAGAAGTGGCACAAGGCTTCGAGCGTCGGTGGAACGTCCCTCATGCATGTGGTGCGCTAGATGGGAAACATGTAGCCATAAGAAAGCCGCCTGACAGTGGAAGCCTGTATCATAACTACAAGGGGTTCTTTTCCATTGTGTTAATGGCGCTAGTAGATGCCGACTACAAATTCTTGTGGATAGATGTTGGAGGAGACGGCTACATGTCTGATGCCATGATCTACAATAACTCAGAACTTCGGGAGTGCCTCTCAAATGGGTCAATAGGTTTTCCCCCACCTGAACCCCTACCACATGATGACCAGGACATGCCATATTTCCTCCTTGGTGACGATGCATTTGGTCTTCGGACATACATGATGAAGCCATTTGCAGCGCGGAACCTGACAAAAGAACAGAGAATATACAACTACCGTATTTCCCGTGGACGAAGAGTAGTTGAGAATGCCTTTGGTATTTTATCCCAGCGTTGGCAAGTTTTGTTAGGGACTATGCAGCAGCAACCAGAGACCGCACGACTGATTGTTGAAGCCTGTGTCTGCCTCCACAATCTGATGAGGATGAATTATCCAACCCAGAACATCGCCGCCCTTGACCACGAAGATGCAAATCATGACATTATCCCTGGTTCGTGGCGCAGCGACGCGAGTATGCTGGACGTGGAACGATGTGGAGGAACAAACAAGGACACCGTTGCAGCGAAGAAGCAACGTGAATATTTGAAGTTGTACTTCAACTCGGTCGCTGGATCAGTTCCCTGGCAGGACAGGATGATATAATCATATACTTGTGCAGGATAATAGTGAATATGACACAGATTAATGTACATATCGCTTGTCTTCGGTACTAACGTTTTAAGTATTTGGAATTAAGCAATCGCCAACTTGTTAATTATTGTACATTTAGTAAACCTTAAGCGTAGTTAATAAAGTGAATTAAGTGTGCAGTGTTCCATTTCGCTTATCCATATCATTGGTGTTGAGATCAAATTAACACTCGGTGCCAATTTTTCAAATTTGACTAGTTCAAATTTGATTTTAGACTAGTCTATTGCAAGTTTTATGGGATTAAGTATGATTTTGATTAGAAAATAGCCAACAGTGTAGAGCCTGGTCAGACTGCGTGGATGTGCATGCTGGCCTGGCTCGACACTGGTGGCCAAGGTCGATTAAAATCGCCTGTGGCGCCCAAAAGGTTAATAAACCAAAGTCATTCTGCATGTACATGTTATACTATCAAACACATTTTTGTCGTAATATACGTCATATAAGCCGCGACATACAGGCAGGGCCTTTGGATATGAATCTGCGACCAGCATTGAAATTAGGACAATAGCCTCTTCGTTTGTCTCGTGCACCTACCATGGTCATATTGGGTCGAATTTACAGCACTGCAACCCTTAACAATCTTCTCATAGGTTTTGATTGATTGATTGAGTTGGGTTTTACGCCTTCACCAGCACCATTCTGGGCTATTTGGACGGCGGGCAGTTTTACCTAACGGGCTTTCCTGGGTGGGTAACCAATATTTAGCACACCGACCAAGAAACTGCCAACTTTCTCACATAAAGGACCGTGGTCGTCAGCGGGCTCGAACCCACGACCCTCCAGCGATTAGAGGTTACAGCGGTTTACAAGTCAGCGACCTTAACCACTCGACCACAGAGGCGGTCTTCTCATAGGACTACATGTATTATATTTGGTGCACAAAGAATCAGTGACTTTTGTTGGGTTTAACGTCGCACCGGCACATGAAAGGTCACATGGCGACTTTCCAGCTTTCATGGTGGAGGAAGAACCCAGGTGCCCCTCCGTGCATTATTTCAGGCACGAGCTGGCACCTGAGTAGAACCACCGACCTTCCGTAAGCTTACTGGATAGCTTCCTCACATGAAAGAATCCGACCCGTTCGGGATTCGAACCCACAGCGGTGAGGGACAAGTGGCTGCAAGTCAGTGACGTTAACCACTCAGCCACGGAGGCCCCTAAAGAATCAGTGACACAGTCGTGTTGAAGATTATAAAACAATGTTAACACAATGCTTGACCTGCATCTCGGTAAATTGCTTTAAAATGTATGGAATTTTAAAATAATAGAACATGTCAAAGAACAGAAACTTTTAATTGCATTGACATACCTTGTCACTTTATCAAAATATGTGTAATCAGCAATAATATTTATGTAGCACACCAGCCAAACTAACGTTCAAAGGTGCATCATTAAATGAGTGGAAGTGAGAAATGCACATCACAAATTATTGGCTATTCTAATAGTTGAAACTCTATTATAGTTATACATGTATAGTCATACCTTGACATCAACGGTATTTTAACGTACTAGCGCATTCATGTATCATAACCAAACAAAAAACAAACGTCACCGTTCATAATCCATGTAATGTCACTGAAGTGAGTCCATGTATGAGAACGAATCCCTGATAATCCCACTGACAGCAGTTTCAGTCTTATCCGATGGCGAGGTGGCAGTCGGTACAGCAACTGAGGTGGGTGGATTCTGTGGGGTACTCGGCATGCACGGTTGTAGAGTTGTGAGAGTCGGCTCGTGTTGCATCTGAGCCTGTACCCAACTGGTATTCATGGAGTTCCATACGGATGTGGTTTCCACGTTTGTTGGCCAGTTCTGGGGTGGTGGCTGCCACTGTGCACACTGGGAGGACTGCTGGGTATGTTGAGTTTTAATCTTGTCGTTAAGCTCTAAGTACTTATAAAGTAACTGGCTCTGTTCCTGTTGGAACTGTCTCCACAAACTTGGATCCAGGTCAGCCATTACTGCATTAGCCCAATCTCCAAATGTAGCCCGTTCGCTGACAGGCGCAGCCGGTTTGACCGTCTGGAGTAGTTTCTCCTGTAGTTGTAAGGACTGGCGGCCCCTCTCGTCCAAGGCGCTTAGTAACTTCTCCTCCTCCGCAGTAAACTGGGACGACGAACGCTTTGGTCTGGCCTTGATGCCGGCAGACTCACCAGGGTCGTCGAGAGTTGACGTAGACTCTGTCAAAGACCTTCGCTGCGGAAGGTCATCTGTGTCCACAGACTCACTATCGTCGGTATCGTCTTGTGACTGCCCTGCCAGCTTCGTCTTCAACTGCAGTGAGCAAAGATAAACATTTTGGGGATAAGGGTCAACTGGCCATATGAAAAGTTATGTTGGAACTAGTAAAATAGGACATAATACCGATAAACGGAGGAAAAGAGATATCATTAAATTGCAATATTAGATAAGGTCAAACTGCTGTCTGTAGGCATTCCATACATTGTCCATTAGTGAAATAATTCTTAAAATGACTTGAAGAGTTATTTATTTATGTCTGCTGATGAAACTTGTTGTAGAAAAGCTATATTCCAAGTTTCATTGTTGTAGCATATACACTTTTTTGTTAATGGCATTGTAATAAAAGTGGGACGGGACGGACGGGACAAGTTATTGTGTGACATGACGGACCTAATTCCTATGTAACCCCCTTCTGGGGTATAATAAACTTAAAATATGAAAATTGATCTTACGCTGACTATGGTTCTTGACTGGACTTCATGAATATGTGGTTTCAGGAACTCAAACTTGGTCAGGATCCACTGGTCACGATCCGTTCGGTCACCTGTTCCAGCGCCAGACTTCGGCTTAGTCAGCTTTCCAAACCTTGTACGAATTGACCTGTACCATACAATAAGCATACTGACGTCTTTCCCAAGAACTTGTGCCTGTTCGGCCCAGAGAGCGTCCTTCTTGCCTTTATCCTTGTAGGTGGATAGCTTTTTGTTGTAAATTTGCGGGTTTTCTCTCAACCACTCGACCATGGATTCTTCATCTTCAGCTGTGAGGTCACTTCTCATCATCAACCTGGACTTTTTGGCCTTTAAAGAACTGTAACACTGTTCACCACTGGTAGATTGAGTGTCCGACTCGGAGACTTGGTCTGATAGCGGTGCCGCTGTTTCAACAGACTGTGGACCACTAGAAGACTGTTTGTATGCATATCCGCCAGTGGATGAAGCCGCGATTTCTACACACTGTGAACCACTACCAAACTGCATATCTGAAGCGGCGACTGGGTCAACTTGTAGCACTTTAGAGACCCTCGCTCTTTTGCCTCGTCCGCCTCTCATCTTTGGAATAATATGGATGATTTAACTTAATACTAATTAAATATACGTCTTCACTCGTAGAAGGTCAGACTCAGAATGAAATTTACTGGTAAAAAGTATTGTTTTTATAGACGTAGCAAGAACGTAGTAGGGTCGTAGTACAGTCGCAGGAAAGTCGCCGGACAAACGCAATAGTCGTCGTAGAGTCGCCGTAAGGACGCAGAGAACATAGCACAGTCGCAGCTGGGTCGCCGATGATCGCCGTGGGGTCGCCTTGGGGACGCAATACAGTCGCAGTGGAAACGCCATGGACGTAGAAGGGTCGTATTGAAGACATAGAGAAAACGTACTGAACACAAGACTGCAGAGCCCCGGACCGTCTGCGAGAGAAATTTGGAAATGTTGAAAGAAAACCAACGATTTTCGAAAGAAAAATGCTATTTTACTAGTTTTCAGGTCGCAGTAAGGTCGTGGTTTATGTGTGAGGGCAGCATAATAAATTACCGAATTTGTCTTTTGATAGGTTTTTGTAATTTGATTTTGCATGCACCACTTTCTTTGTAAGTTGCGTTTGTCTGGTAGTTATCCCCTACTGTTTATGAACTAATTTGTAAAAGTATATGTCTGTAGTATAAGATAATATTTATGTTCCATAGCCAGTAAGGATCTCAAACGGAAACAACTTGAAAAGCACCCTCTCAATCTAATAAGTATTTTAGTGAGGAAAATGTGCGGTGACGTAAACGCTACTTATCTCATACTTATCTCAAGGACATACTTTATAAGCTGCTGACCTTTTACAAACAATATGTCAAACCACAGTTGTCTATCTTATAGTAAGTAACCTATTAATATTCAGTGCTTGTGCTAATCTAAATTGCATATCAACCTGATTTCTGCAAAATGGAAGTTAAAATATGCAGATCGAGCTAATTGGTTTTAGGAAGGAAGTGACGGAAATATTACAATTTTCTATGGCCTAGTTTCTTTAGTGACGACTCGTTGTTATTATGTTGTCTTGTGGTTTTTGTTTTTTGTTTGTTTGTTATTAACATTCTGAACACAACGATTTAAAGCCATAATATGCAACAATATCAACATCATATGTGAGTGGTCCTTGGTGTAGAATACACGACAATATCCTACATTATTTATAGAGATACAGAGACTATTGCTGCCATGTTTTTATCATTCAATTCTGCGTCTATAAAAGACTGTCTCTATATCATATTCAGTTCTCGAGGGTATATCATACACGTTATTTTTCTCAAGAAATTATTTATGATGAAACTGCGCGGAAGGTGTCTGCTAATACAATAAGGACAATCGTTTTCACGTACATATGACGCCTAAACAGGAAAAAAATGATTTTGGTTAATCTCGGGTGTTACAAACATAAAGCAACACTAGAGGTCAAAACCACCTCTCCTGTAGAGATTCATAGACTCCAGTAATCGAACGCAGGGGTACACGGTGACTGTGTGAACTTCCATATTGAGATATTCCAAACCACCTCTCCTGTAGAGATTCATAGACTCCAGTAATCGAACGCAGGGGTACACGGTGACTGTGTGAACTTTCATATTAAGATATTCATAATTCAGACTGCAATTGTGATAAGGCAACATCTCAGCTTTAAAGGGCAAAAGATTCACTGTAGCTGGGTGTTAAAAATAGTTT